CTGCTGAACATCACCCCCAGCTCTAACTGGGGGTTCACACCCAAGAAAAGCCCTTTCTGTTCCTCGTGAGGAGGCGAGCAGGGGAGCGTGAGCTCTCTCGGCAGGGCTGTGGCAGGCTGAGTGAGTAGGTTGTGTGTTTTTTCCCCTGATAATTGGCTTTTTTTTTTTAATTGCACCGTCATTTTCCGCGTTTTTCTCTTCCTATGGAAGGAACGCCCTTGGTGGCTTTTTGAATAGCTTTCAGTTCCCACTGTTTTAGGCACTGTGGGAGAGGAGAGAGGATTTCTGATAATTTTGTTTTCTCTCTGTTTAGCTGACAGTGGGGCTGGAGTTTTGTTTCATTTAACCCCAGTGTTTCTGAAGCAGCGCAGCAGCTTTCTCCTCCCCGCGTTTTTCTCTTCCTATGGAAGGAACGCCCTTGGTGGCTTTTTGAATAGCTTTCAGTTCCCACTGTTTTAGGCACTGTGGGAGAGGAGAGAGGATTTCTGATAATTTTGTTTTCTCTCTGTTTAGCTGACAGTGGGGCTGGAGTTTTGTTTCATTTAACCCCAGTGTTTCTGAAGCAGCGCAGCAGCTTTCTCCTCCCAGCTGTGGCTGGGGCACCACCAAGACTTTCTAAGGAGAAGAAACCCTGCTTAGCAGGGTCTCAGGGTAGTGGGCTTGGGTGGGCAAGACCAAAATGCAGGTTTTTTTGCTGTTTCTTTTGTTTTTCTCCCTGATTTGCAGCAAGGGAATAGATAACTTGTGCCCTTCCAGGCAGCAAACACCTTAATGAGAAGCTAACCCAGGTCCTTAAGTCCCCTCTCTGTTTTCTGCCTACACTTGTCTCTATTTCCCTCTGCTGCTTCTCCTCCCTCTCTCTCAAAGCTCCACTTCCCTCTGTGCAGATGAATGGTGTCCCTCTGCCTTCCACTGCACTCCTGTGGGATTTCTCCAGGGCTGGACCTCACAGCCCTGCCTGCTGTGCCCCCGTTGGGGTGATGGAGGTCTCGGAAGGACCCTCAGGAGGTGGCTTGCAGAGCTGAGCTGGTCTCCCTTGGAGGGTTTGCTCTGGGTTTTGGGAGCTGGGCAAAGCAAACCAGTGGTGGAGCTGATGGTGGCTTCATGCAGAAGATGGATTTGCATCTCCCTGTGAGCAGTGGGCTTTGCCCAGCGTGTTGCAGTGCTGCAGGGATGGTGTGAAGTGAGAATAAAGTCCAAGCTTGGAGGTTGTGAAGGTTTTGGGTGGAGAGGAGGCGTGAGCCTGATGGTGGCCAGGGGGGGAGTTGGGCTTTCAGCTCGGTTGGGGAGGATTTTGCTTTTGTTTGCACTCCCTGGCTCATTTCAAACATGTTTCCTTGCTGATAAATTCTCCTGCCAAGGGAACAGCTGGATTAATTTCACTGTAGTGGCTGACAGAGATGGTTAAATCAAAGGAAATCTGAGGAAAGCTGCAGCAGAAGTTCATGGGTAGAGCTGAAGGCAGTGATGTGGTTGATAGTCTGGACTCACCAGTGCTTGAGATGGGGCAGGGAGGGCTTCTGTGAAGCTCCTGCTTCCTCTGAGCTGGTACTAGGCTGACCCTCTAGTTGCCTTGGCAGTCACCTTGGTGTGGTTTAGTTGGTTTTTCACACTGTGTTTTAGGGGTCAGTGCTTTTGTCTGTCCATGCTTGCAGTTGCTGATCTCAAGATGTTTTTGTGATAGGTCATTAGTCTTGGTAGAAGATGGTCTGCTTGGTGGTCTCCCTTGTCCTGTGTGTTCACACTAAAAGCTGAATCTGTGAGGATCTTCCAGTGGTTGTTAGTGCAGTGAACACAGCTCTGAATTTGTTCCCAGTTCCATAAACTTTCTGGTTTTGCAGGCCAGCTGGTGCTCCAGCATCATGGGGGCTGTGCCTGGCCCATGCTCATCACCTCATGAGTGCCTGTCCTCCAGCCTGTGTGTGTGTGTGCAAGAGCTGGTGTGTGTGTTCTAGCTGGGATGTGCTGAGCCTGTGCCAGGGGGATGCCCCATTGCTGCCCCATGTGGTGCAGCACCATCCTTCTAAGCCTTCAGAAAGACATCCCTCACAAGAGGGGAACCCTGGAACATCTTGCAGGTAAGATCTCCAGGGTTCCAGGCATGAGGTGGTTCTTTGAGTAACTGCTCTGGTCTGGGTGTGTGAGTGCTGTTTGTGCTGGGACCAAAGAGCCCTAGGAGGCTCTCGTTGGTGGTGCTGGTTGGTGACTTCCCTCCTAGCTTGCCCTTGTACCAGACCAAGGGGGACAGTTTAACCTCCTTATCTCCTCAGGAGGAGAGGTGTGGAGTCTGTTCACCCACCAGATCTGCAGCCCATTGTCAAAGAAGTGGCAGAACACACAGACCTCCATTTCCCTCATCAGCTTGCACGGGGTTCTCTGAATCCTTCCTCCTCCAGCAGCCATCCAGTCCCTTGGCTGGTGGCTGAGTGCTGGGGAGACTTCCCAGGGTGTCGTGTGGGGATGCTGAGGGGGAGCACTCCTTTCTTCAGTCCACAGGGACACCAGGAGGGCAGGGTGGGGACTGGGTTCCTTGGGTGTGGGGAGCAGGTGGAGGTAGCTCATGGGTAGCAGTGATGCTTCCATGGGGCAGGAGACCAAGCAGGATGAGTGGCAGTGCTGTGGGGGAGTTACCAACATCCCCATCGTGGCCAGTGTTGCTGAATGTGGTGGTCTGGAGGCATCTCCTTCAGAGAGGAGGAATTGAGCAGCTCTCCTGGTCCCAGATGAACTCTGCTCAGAGCAAAGACTTCTGTTGCTTCCATAAAACACAGGAGAGCTCGTGCAAGATGCTTGGTCCTGCTGACAAGTTTTCTCAGTAGTTTCTTCCTCTATGAAGGGAGGAGATGGCCCAGTTCCTGGTGACTGGGAGGGTGCTGTGAGCCAGGATGGTGCTGGATGGGAAGACCTCTGGAGAGAGGCAACTTGCTGGCTCTGGCCTGAAAGAGTGGGGAGAGCATTGGTGTAAGACAGAGGAGCAACCCCAGGGATGCTTTGGAGGACACCATGTGGTGGGTGACTCTCAGCTTTGTAGTAAAAGGCAAAGCCACGTGTGTGATTTCACTGGGTCCTCTGAGACTTGGGAGACCTTCAGCTGCTTGGTTTGTTGGCTCTGCTTCAAAAGCCCACGTGTTGCATCGCTCTCCATCAGTTTTTCTTGCCTTTTGACATCTTCTGAGGGATTACAGCCCTGAGTCACCCACGAGAGCTGGAGTGCTCTGCCACAGCTGAGGTGCACGTGTGGGTTGTCCCATGCATGCCAGCATCTGCACTGGGGTGGAGAGATCTGCTGCAGCCCCTTTCCTTAGCTGGGTGTGACACTTGTCACCCATCTGACCACACAACTGTGGCTTGGCTGCAGGGGAGGGTGAGAGCTGGAAGGGCTCCAGGCTGTATTTCCAGAGGAACTCTGAGCAGACATCCACTGCTAACCCCCCTCCAGGCTTGTTTCCAGACCTCTCCTTTCCAGTGCAGTAGAGGTGGCAGAGTCCCAGTCTGGTTGTCCAAACTGGGCTCTGGATCTGCTTGTGACACGTTGGGCCTGGCTTGTGGCAGTGTGTGGCCAGGCTTTGTAGCAGAGTTTGAGCTTCTTCATGCAGAGCATCCAAGAGAATAGCTGCCTTTGGAAACCACTGGGTCTTCTTCAGCATGTTGG